ATTATCGCTTGATTAAATGTATTAATTCTTAATATAAATCCAATTTGAAAAATATTATTAATTAATGGATCCAATTAAGTGAAGATATAATGGTATAAAATATAAAACCAACTATCTTTACTAGCAATATCATACAGATATAAGTAGGAATAGGGGACTCATTTTCATATTGATATTGAAAATTCTTATAAGTATTCGAAACAAGCTGAGTGGGAGTTTGAAGTACATTTTCATAACTAATTAGTAAATCTTTCAAAAAAATAAATTCTGTAAATTTAATAAATGATTATGAGTTGCAGAAGCATAGTAGATATCATAAATCTTATCATCAAATCATTAATTTGATTTAACATATTCTAATAAATTGGTTCATTTCAGTATTTTAACATTTATTTTTTATTTTCAATTACTATTCATTTAATTAGTTTGAATTAGGTACAAGTTCGTAGAATAGCTTCCCAATTATGATTATCAAGGGGATAATCTCTGCTATAGGTTGTTTAACAATAATGAATCTTCTATTATCATTTGAATAGTAAGAGGATAAAATTATTGTTAAATATAATTTAAATTATGAAAAAGTTTTTCCTTTTTACTATTTTATGTTATAGATTTGTATCTCAAGATTTATTTAATTATTATACTAGGCCTATTTAATATCTGAAAATTTTGGATAATCTTAAATTATCACAATTTTTGAACCTAAATACACTTTTTCAGAACTTATAAAGTATCAAATTTAAATTGTATTGAAGCACTTATTGATGCCTTAATTTAAAATTTGAACAGGAACTGTTTGTTCCTGATTGCAATCCATAAATTATTATTGACTTAAAAAGTATTGATTATATGAACAGTAGGTAATAAGGTCTTATTTAGCAATCAGAAATTTCTTAACTATGCAATCATTTACATTGAATTTTTGAGGATAGATTTCGGGTCAAACCTCATTCCTTCCTGAAAAATGCCAAATTTTCCTAAAGATACAAAGTTAAAAGCTTTGGTGCTGCACTATGAATATTGTATATTATCATAAGCATTTTCTAATTTTTCATTAAAGCTTTTGGATGACCTTAATTGATAAGTTGTACAACTGCTAATATGATATTTCAAAAAAAAACAGTAATAGGATTTTAGATTCAAATTTTTATTTCAATTCTTTTTCCTTTCAATTTTATTTATCCTTAGCAGTCCTTATCTTAAGAATAATTTTTTGTGAAGTCAGAGATTTTATAATTAAAAACCGCATAACTTAGTTTTTACTTTGGCTTCAACAAATTTGAGTAATATGCTTATTCTTCTACTTGTTCATAATTTAAAGCTTGAATTAAAGACTCCTTAAAGGTATTAGTTTATTTCGGTCACTCAAAATCCACATAAATTAGAATTCAATCAAGGATTAACATAGAACATCTCTCTAATATTTAAAGGATTTTGAGTAGATTTCTTTAAAAATGCTTAATTTTAAAGTGAAGTCTTGATTAAATTGAAATACAAGCTAAAAGAGATTGCTCTTTTATATTTATTTTACCCATAAATTATAAATAATTTTTTCGAATTTTGATTCTGATACAAAACTATAAATATGAAATAACTGAAAAGTGAAGAAACCAAAATGAATTTTAGAAAACTGAATAAGCTCTGGGGATCTGAAAGAAATCCATTATTAGCTAAATTAATGTTAATGACATGTAAATTAATGCTAAGATTTTTGTATTAATTTCTTCTTTGAATTTGATAATTACAACTGTTGCTAATGGATTATTTGATCTGGTCCATTTAATATACTTATGTTCAATACTTACTTCCATTATGATTATATCATTAGTTGTATATGTAAATGATAATTATTTACCATTTACATCTTTATTATGATGTGAGTATGTATAACCATTTTAAGATATCATATATGATCTATTATAATTTAATACCTATACCCATACCCAAGTCCTGTGTATTAATAATTATTTTTTTATATAATATCTCTAAATCCAATTCCAATAAACATACTAGATGTTAAACTGAGAATTTAGAATGCAAACAATATTTTCCCAGTCTTTGGAATTGCTTATTCACAAAGACAATAATATCTACCATTACTACCAGGACATTCAACAACTTTTCCACCTTCAGTTACTTAACAATTTTGACCCTTATAAGTAACACTAAATTATAATGTTTTTTGATATTGTTAAATCTATTATTAATTGAGTATTTTTATGAAAAACTTGAAAACTTCAAATCTTTCTCTATTCTAATTTTTCTTTACTTGGTATCATACTAAATATATAAATAAATAATTCTATTAATTATTTATGTTATCCAAAATAATTTAAATCACCATTAAAGTATTCAAAAATACAAGTTTAGACTAAATTTTTGGATTAAAAAAGTCATCATAATTATATTTAAATAATTACAATAAGTTATTTAAGCCATTTGATAAGATATTTATAAATGTAATTTTTTACCATATAAGCTTCTTTATAGCAAAACTATTATTATTTATTCGATTAGATATGATCAAAATATTCAATTAACTCATATAAAAGAATCTCATAATTATTCTAAATCTTAGATTTTCTTTGATATTGAATTCAAATAGATTCTTACTTTTTAAAGATATTACCTCTATTTAAATAGTAACTTTGAAATTCCTAAATCATATTTTATAGTAAATGGCTTTATTGATTAAATCAAGAATAAAAAATATTATGTAAACATTTCCAAACTGGGTTACTGACCTTCTTATTTTAAGATTATAGAAAATTATAATCACCTAACTTATTGTTGTATATTTTGATTTTATTTTGATTCAAATTAAAGTCAATGCTATATGTTTGAATTTATTTGAATAAACTAAATATTTAACATGCATCATTTATCTGATAAAATTTATTTCTCCATTCTTAACCCACAGTTATCTTGGAAATCTTTGTTGGTAATTTTGATAGAAAAATGAATTGCAATAAAATCTCAATATTGAATAAACTTTTTTTTCTATAATCTCATTAAATTCAGATTTAATATAATGAATAAAAGTTTAATAAAATAGTAAATAGGAATTATTTATTTTAAATATATATATATATAATTATAATTGATATAATATCTTGTATATAGATTATTAATATATAAATAAAAAGAAATATGAATATATTACAATAAAAATAAAGTTAAGATGTTTAAGAGACAATTTGTAAGAGTCATAATTTAGAATTGATTGCTGTTGATTTAGACATGTCAGATAAATCATAAATAAATTTTTTTTGTGGTAAATGTTTAGTAGATAAATTAAATAATAATAAAGTGACAACTATTGAATAATCAAAAGAAAGAATTTAATAAATTAAGAATTAATAATAAGAAATTAAAAGTAAAGAGAATCAAGCAAGACTTAATTATTATAAGAATATTTTAGATTAAATAATGGAATTTAAAAGATGTATAGATGATTCTTTAGAAAAGATAAGTAAATAAATTTAATAATACATGTTTCCAATTTAAAAGGAAAAAAAAGAANATGATCTATTATAATTTAATACCTATACCCATACCCAAGTCCTGTGTATTAATAATTATTTTTTTATATAATATCTCTAAATCCAATTCCAATAAACATACTAGATGTTAAACTGAGAATTTAGAATGCAAACAATATTTTCCCAGTCTTTGGAATTGCTTATTCACAAAGACAATAATATCTACCATTACTACCAGGACATTCAACAACTTTTCCACCTTCAGTTACTTAACAATTTTGACCCTTATAAGTAACACTAAATTATAATGTTTTTTGATATTGTTAAATCTATTATTAATTGAGTATTTTTATGAAAAACTTGAAAACTTCAAATCTTTCTCTATTCTAATTTTTCTTTACTTGGTATCATACTAAATATATAAATAAATAATTCTATTAATTATTTATGTTATCCAAAATAATTTAAATCACCATTAAAGTATTCAAAAATACAAGTTTAGACTAAATTTTTGGATTAAAAAAGTCATCATAATTATATTTAAATAATTACAATAAGTTATTTAAGCCATTTGATAAGATATTTATAAATGTAATTTTTTACCATATAAGCTTCTTTATAGCAAAACTATTATTATTTATTCGATTAGATATGATCAAAATATTCAATTAACTCATATAAAAGAATCTCATAATTATTCTAAATCTTAGATTTTCTTTGATATTGAATTCAAATAGATTCTTACTTTTTAAAGATATTACCTCTATTTAAATAGTAACTTTGAAATTCCTAAATCATATTTTATAGTAAATGGCTTTATTGATTAAATCAAGAATAAAAAATATTATGTAAACATTTCCAAACTGGGTTACTGACCTTCTTATTTTAAGATTATAGAAAATTATAATCACCTAACTTATTGTTGTATATTTTGATTTTATTTTGATTCAAATTAAAGTCAATGCTATATGTTTGAATTTATTTGAATAAACTAAATATTTAACATGCATCATTTATCTGATAAAATTTATTTCTCCATTCTTAACCCACAGTTATCTTGGAAATCTTTGTTGGTAATTTTGATAGAAAAATGAATTGCAATAAAATCTCAATATTGAATAAACTTTTTTTTCTATAATCTCATTAAATTCAGATTTAATATAATGAATAAAAGTTTAATAAAATAGTAAATAGGAATTATTTATTTTAAATATAGATATATATAATTATAATTGATATAATATCTTGTATATAGATTATTAATATATAAATAAAAAGAAATATGAATATATTACAATAAAAATAAAGTTAAGATGTTTAAGAGACAATTTGTAAGAGTCATAATTTAGAATTGATTGCTGTTGATTTAGACATGTCAGATAAATCATAAATAAATTTTTTTTGTGGTAAATGTTTAGTAGATAAATTAAATAATAATAAAGTGACAACTATTGAATAATCAAAAGAAAGAATTTAATAAATTAAGAATTAATAATAAGAAATTAAAAGTAAAGAGAATCAAGCAAGACTTAATTATTATAAGAATATTTTAGATTAAATAATGGAATTTAAAAGATGTATAGATGATTCTTTAGAAAAGATAAGTAAATAAATTTAATAATACATGTTTCCAATTTAAAAGGAAAAAAAAGAATTATAAGAAAATTTAAATTAATTGAATTATTTTGAAGATATAAAATAATTATCAGAATTATATTCAATAGATTAATAAAAATCAATTAAATTAATAGAAGATAATATATTTATAGATGAATTAATAAGATAATTTGAATTATTATTTAATAATGCTGAATATTATTAAACTTTAGACATATTCAAAAATACAAAATAAACAATTTAAGATATAATGGAAAATAATATTATTGAATTACCACCATTATTATAAACAAAAAATGAATTTGTAAATAATTATATATATAAATTAAAATAGAAAACACCAAGTTTAAGTAGAATTTGTTAAAATCATAAAAAAGAAATAATAATGATTGATATGGATACTGAAAATAAGAAAATTGAAGATAGATTAGTTTGTGTTGATTGTATATCTGAGAATCCATTAATTAAATATTAAACAATTGAAAATGTAAATAAATTATGGATTGATTATAATTCATAATCTGAAAATATATTATAAGAATATAAAAAGGAAATTAAGCATAAAAAGAATGAATTATTCAATTAAATATCTTAAATGAGAAAAAATTATAATTTAAAATTGAATGAAATTAGTGATAAATTAATTTAAGAATAATTTTAATCAATTTCAAAACCTAAACAATCTAATTAAATTAAAACTATTTCAATATAAACTTTATAAGATGAATAATTATTAAAGGATTTAAAATAATTAATAGAAAAAGAAAAAGTCAATTCAAATTAAACTATAACAATTTTAAAAAATAAAGATTTAATTTTTTAAAAAGAAATTGAAAATCATTTAGAATCATTAAAATAATATGATTAATTAGATATTTAATAATCAATAGATATACTTAAAGAAATACCAAGTATTAATTTATATATATATAAATTTTTATAGTTGAAAGAAATGTAATTGTATAATTATAAGAAGTAATCTCTTAAATATCAAAGATTCTATCTACAAATGATAATAATTATTAAGATTAAGTAGAATTTATTAAGAATATTTAAGAATTCATTGATTAAGCTAAAAAATATTAATGTTAAATAAATTTATTTGATTAGACTATAACATTATTTTAATAACATACTAATAATATAGATTAAATATAATCAAAAATTTAAAATTAAATTTTAAATAAATAAGAATAAATACAAATTTAATATTAGAATTTATCAAAATTATTAAATGATTATATTATAACATTTGATAATAAAACTAAATAAATTAAGAAATATTGTAATATTTCTAAATTAGAGATGGATTTAATAAAATTAAATGAATTAAATTCAAATTTAGAAATTTAAAGTAATTTAATTAAATTAATAAATAGAAACAAATATATAAAATCAAATGTCAAAATAATTAGATGAAAAACATCAATAATTTTAATAATTATTAAAAGAATAATAAGATAAATGTATATTTATATATATATATATATATTATTTTTATAGATTTAAAATAAATTGATGATATTAATCTAAAATTACAATCAAATGAAAAATTAAATATAAATTTAAAAGATTAAATTGATTTAAAAACTTAAGAAATAATCAATTTAAAAAATTAAAATGAATAAGATAAATTAAATATTATTAAAACTATTGAAGATTAAAGTATTTAATATTATTATTATATATAGAAAATAAAGAAATTATAGAAATTAATAAAAGATTAAATTAAAAGGAATCAGAATTATAAATAATCTAAAAACAATTTGATTAAATTAATCAAGAAAAGTTATAAAAAGAAAAATAATTAAAATTAGACTTAGAGAAAGTATAATATAATTATAATACTTTATTAATATAATAGATTTAACAATATCCAAAAACATTATAATTTAGTGTTACTTATAAGGGTCAAAATTTTTAAGTAACTGAAGGTGGAAAAGTTGTTGAGTAGACTGGTGGTAGTTACTATTATTGTCTTTGTGAATAAGCAATTCCAAAGACTGGGAAAATATTGTTTGCATTCTAAATTCTCAGTTTAACATCTAGTATGTATATTGGAATTGGATTTAGAGATATTATATAAAAAAATAATTATTAATCTGCAGGAGTTGGGTATGGGTATAGGTATTAAATTATAATAGATCATATATGATATCTTAAGATGGTTATACATACTCACATCATAATAAAGATGTAAATGGTAAATATTTATCATTTACATATACAACTAATGATATAATCATAATGGAAGTAAGTATTGAACATAAGTATATTAAATGGACCAGATCAAATAATCCATTAGCAACAGTTGTAATTATCAAATCTATTATTAGTAGATGGAAATAGATACATCCATATCATAAGAATTATATCCATGTGTATTGATTTATTAATCAAAAATTAAAATATTGGATAATATTCCAAGTTGATAATGGAATGAAATATCATATATAAGTAATTATTATAAATTTAATATATATAATCGATTTTCAAAAATTTATTTATGTTTATAACAATTTATAACCATCTTTTCATTCTTCAAATACAAATATTTGTAATTTTATTAGATTATTAAATTGATTCAGTCAAAAATGATATTTTCAATTTAATCTACATTCTATCGCAAACTTCTACCCTCATTGATATTAAACTTAACCGAAATTTTAAATAATTATAAAATAAATCTAATTGTATTTATATTACTATTATGACTCATTGACAAAAACCTTCAACTAAATTTTTATATAGCAACTGCAGATTGATATTGTTGCTATCTTAATAGAGCCTTACATATAATAATTACAATTTAATTTGTTATTCAAGAATAACAATAATTTTGAATAATCTAATATCAAAAATAAGATATTTTTTCCTACTTTTCCAAAAAATTTAATTCTTAGGTTCTATATTCATATTTTTATAAGCTTTTACATAATCTATCATTAAAGCAAAATAATAAGTCTTAAAGGATTCTTTCTTTAAACTCTCTTTATAAATAATATTTTTTTAAAAACTAAATTGTATGTTATATGTAATCCTTCACCACCGAATTCAAGAGAGAGCGAATCGAGAGTTAACAAAAAAAAAGGATTTAATCATATTCTCAAAAAGTTGCTCATTTTCAAAACTTATTTTCTATAAAAATAATTATCAAACCGATTTTTAATTGCATAAATAACTCTAGTTTAAAATAAATTCTTATGATAATCTGAGGAGAGTTAAAAATTAATTAGAATTAATTTTAAGCAACATGAGACACAAAATATATTTAGGCTACTGTGAAGCTTTATTTAATTAAAGTACATAATGTAAATAAAAAATAACTAATTATTATCTTTTTTTTAACGATTGCATTTGATATTCAGAAATTATCATATATTGACTTTAAAAAGAATGAATAAGAATAATTTAGTGGGTTACTTATTGAATCCATAGAATGATGACTTATACAGTAATTAAGGAAATGGCATAACTTTAGGATTAAATCGATTTTCAATTAATAAAAAATAAACTTATAATATAAAAATATTATTATTCTGTTGATTTTTTGAACGATTTGTCATTTAAGTCAATTAAAATGAAATTAGTTACTAAAACTCAATTTTAGGTAACCTTATTAAAGTTAAATTATTTGAGTAACTAAAGTTTAATGTAACAATATTAGAAAATCATCTTGTTAATTTATTCTGTAGATAATGTTGAAAAGTATTAAATCTAAAATTAAATCTTATATATTTTGTTTAGATTGGATAAACTTATTGGATTTTTCATTAAGTGATTTTAAATAATTTGAAGCAAAAATATCATTGTGTATTCACTAAGGATTTTATATCAAAAATAACATAATTTTTTTAATTTAATTTGGTTAAACAAAAAAAGTTGATAAAAATCATGATGTTGGAAGATGAAATAGTTTAAACTATAAATTATTATATACTAGATATAAAACAAAAATAATTCTAATTAATTAAACAAATTTAATTTTTCATCTTGAGAGATAAACTATGAATTACAACTTCTCTTACAAGTCTGAAAACTGTGTTTAGGTTTGTTTATTCTGACATGTTTTAGTCTAAATTGTATTTATAAAATTTTAAACATTTAATTTATTGAAATTGATCATATTATTAATATAATTAAATCAATGAGGGATTCTTTTTTTTAGTTAAATAAACAATAAATGAGATAGGGCAATTAAAAATAAATATAAACAACCGCTAAAGATATGTTTCTAGTAGGCTAGGAATGAACTTTTATCAATAATTTGATTAATATAATAATCATTTAATCGAAAAGCCAAACCGATTAAATATATTAAATTGTATAAGAATTAACATTTTTCAATAACTTTTACAATGTTTAAAATATTTTTTCCACTTAATTACAAAAATTTTATGAATCAAGATAGATAACATTTATGTTCTGAAAAGTTTTTCGATTCTCGCCTATTTTAATATTGAGAAACTTAAATAATTTCTTGTTGAAATTATAGAATTGTATTTAAATAAAATGTATCGTTTTTAGCATAAAACACCACATTTAATTTCTTTAAAATTAAGAATAATATTGTAAATATCTATAGAAAATAATATTATCCAATATTTTAACTTTTGATGATTAATAAATCAATACACATGGATATAATTCTTATGATATGGATGTATCTATTTCCATCTACTAATAATAGATTTGATAATTACAACTTTTGCTAATGGATTATTTGATCTGGTCCATTTAATATACTTATGTTCAATACTTACTTCCATTATGATTATATCATTAGTTGTATATGTAAATGATAATTATTTACTACTTATATCTTTATTATGATGTGAGTATGTATAACCATGTTAAGATATCATATGTGATCTATTATAATTTAATACCTATACCCATACCCAACTCCTGCAGATTAATAATTATTTTTTTATATAATATCTCTAAATCCAATTCCAATATACATACTAGATGTTAAACTGAGAATTTAGAATGCAAACAATATTTTCCCAGTCTTTTGAATTGCTTATTCACAAAGACAATACTAGTAACTATTACCACCAGTCTACTCAACAACTTTTCCACCTTCAGTTACTTAAAAATTTTGACCCTTATAAGTAACACTAAATTATAATGTTTTTGGATATTGTTAAATCTATTATATTAATAAAGTATTATAATAAAGATTATTTAAATATAACTCTCCTTGATTTGAAATTGTGTGAAGAACTTTAAATAGATTAAATTCAAAATACGTTTAGCAACAAAATTCAAAAGCTTAACTTTATCATGAAATTAGAAACTTTCTTTATAATCATTAAACAAATATTGTGTGATTTACTTTACTTTAAGAATCCTAGTTTTTATTTTTTTTAATTTCTATACATAATTTGTAGAATTTTTGCTATCTAATACAAAAGTTGTTGAATCCTTTCAGCTTTTACTTTCCTAAACGTTGATATTTGATAAAATTATTTTATTAAAAAGGTAAAATAATTTTTCATCTATACAACAAGAATTAAGTGTACCCAATAGACATACTTCCAAGTGTATCTTATTCATAGCCTAAGCTTTAGCTAGTTTTATTCTTTCTAAAATTAACTTAGAAATCATAATTTATTAGTATAATTGAATAAAAATTCTTTAATTTTGCTTTTGTAAAGTTCTAATCGATAAGCTAGAATTATTGTATATGTAAACAATAGAATTCGTTTTTTATTTTTCATATTTTCTTTTTTTTTTGGCCTCTAAGTTGTTAATATTGACAAGATTTTTATGTATAAACAACAATTTAGAAAATGCATTCTGTAGGAAATTTGATTAATCGGAATCAAATCTACCATATAAATATAGAAACTAATCAAATAACCATTATAAATATCTGAATTTCTGGATTGATTGGAATTTATACCTGTCAGATTTTTCAGAATCATAAATTTCAATAATATTTTTTCAATTCCAATAAATAGATTATTTAATGCTTTAAGGATAATTTTGTGCGTATGATTTCAATTAAAAGTTTAAATACTCATCTTTCTAGAAACATTTTGAATTGAATTTAAATAAATTATATTTTTATTAATTTATTGAAAAAATAAAATAAATAAATATCCTCCAATTAAAGTTGGTTGAGTTAAAAGAAAATTAACTTAGTTAGATAAAAAAATATCTTATATTTCAAATTTATCATAAGTAAATCCTCAATAGATATATTTAAAAATGTTGTTTATGAAATCCCAGACAAGAAAGGAACAATAAAAAAGAATAACTCTATGTAATTGATATTTTTCTACCATTAAGAAATTTTACAAGCCTAGATGTAATTTACTTTTTACAAATAATTTAGGCTTTCAGACCCAATATTTGAAATAAAAAAATTTTAATAATCGACTAATTACAGATGTCTACCTTAGAGTTCTTGAGTATTTATAGAAAATTTAGTTTATATTCTATCCATCATAGCATGACTTATTATTTTACTGTAGAGATATTTTGTGGTATCAAATACATTTGATAATCTTAAATAGCATTTCCATTTTTTTAGTTCCCAATTTTAAGTGTCAAGGCTACCAAGCTGTACTTATTAATTAACAAATTTTGACAAATAGTAATCTATTTATATTTCGATCTTAGTATTGATTTTCCATGTATAAATAAATCTTAAAACTCATTTAGATATGATTGATCTAATTTAAGTATTTTTAAGCATTTTTAATAGTTTTTTCAAGATTTTCAGCAAAAATTAATTTTTTTAAATAATTGCAAATTTTAATTAAATTTGAGAAACAAATTGAAGAAAATTCTAGCTCAAAAAAATACCTAAAATTTTATAAAATGCAAACTATTTTCTTATTTGATATAATTTCATTTTATTTTTAAATTTTTTCTGATTCATGAAACTTGACTATTGAAATCAGAAATATCCTCATTTCATCCCATATCTCATCTTTAATGACATACTCTTTTTCATGATTCTCTCTGCCTCTAAATAATAATACTAGATAATAGTTATTTACAGAAAGTAATTAACTATTATAAACTTATTTACAATAAATATTCCATTTAATTTACATCTTTTTATTTTTATAACATCAATTAAAGAATACTTAATTTAACGTAGAATAGAGAATTAGAATATTCGTAATTAATATTCAATTGGTTGAAACCAGCTACTATCATTTAAAATATTATTTTTTATTTTCATATATTTCGCACTAAATTCTTATAATTAGTATTTTTTTTAAGATTAATGTATAGTGTTTCTTAAATAAACTTCCAATTTTCCTATTCAATTACTATTTTCATAGTCACCTACCATTATGATTTGAATCTTTCTATAAATATAAACTTGATTAATCGACACTCATAAAAATAAAAATGAAGTTCTACCTATAATAAAAATTGAAACCTTCAATATAATACATTACTCCTTAACTGTAGATTTGATTAAATATTAATATATATTAAACTTTTATTACATATACAGTCATTAATTAAAATGCATGAGATTACAAAATTTTACTTTAATTTTGATTGAGCAATTTAAATTATAACTTTTATTTAATTATTTTATGAAGAACTCATCAATTAAAATTTATTAAAACAATAATCCAAATAAATAACAATGGTAGTTTAATTTATGATTGCTAAATTGATGAATTATATGATTATTATAAACAAAAAGGTTCATTAATTTGATTATATATATATTTGATATAAATTATGAGATTATATTTTTATATGAATTTGAATAAAATATATATATAATAAAAATAATCAGAATGAATTAATTATTTTGTGAGCCTCATCTCAAAAAATGTTTTATGGTGGATTTAAATAAAGTAAGTGCTATTAAAGGCCGATTTGTTTGCCCATAATGTGTTGAAGAAATACCAAAATCAAATAGAGATATGATTGATTAATTCAAATGCTTGGATTCTTTTTTTGGATAATGGGAAGTAATTTCTAAAGAAAACAGAACTCTTATCTTATATAATATGGAATAAATCTTTAATTATTCAAAAATTTTTTAAAATTTCAACGATAAGATTCTGAATATTATATAGGAATTGACATAGTATAGTTTACATGATCTATAAAAATAATTGAATTTTTTTGAAGTAAAACCAGAAAGATTATCAATAGAATAAATTTATGAAATAGCAGAAAATCTAAGTAATCAAGAATATTTGTATACATTTAGAAAATAATAAGAAGTTTATTATCATTCATATTTAGAAGAGATTGAAAGAATCTTAGAAAAAAATGAAATTAAAAAGATTTATAAAGTAAGACCCAATTTAAGTATAGTTAGTCAATAAGTTGACATAAAAATGAAAGTTATACCTTAAAAAAAAAGGTTTCAATTAAAATGGATTATTGGTATATTACTTAGTTTATGTATAATGATGATCAATTAACTAAAAGAATAGGATAATAAAAAAAATATTATTGAGAATAAAAAAGAGGTTAATTTTTCTTATGAGATTATAGAATCAAATATAAAGGAATAAAATATAAAATGTTCTGTATTTGCTTTTAATTAGTAAAATTCAATAATTATAGCCGGTTGTGAAGATACTATTAAAATATTTGAATTTGATAATGGAAATATAAATTGTCTACAAACTTTAAATGGTCATAATAACAATGTTAGTGCTTTATACTTTATGAAAAATTCTAATGAATTTATATCAGGAGATATTTTTGGATCAATGTTTTTTTGGAAACAAGTTTAATACAATAAATGGTAGATGTAATAATAAGCTAAAGAACATACTCATATAATTAATCAAATCATCATGAATTCTTAAGAGGATCTAATTATTTCGTGCAGCCATGATAAGTCCATAATTTTTTGGAATTTTGAAAAAGTATGGAAAATCAAAAAAATAATAAATGAACATAAAAGTTGGGTTTTGAGTCTTAGTTTAAATGAAAACTAAAATTAATTAATATCTTGTGATAATGATGGAACCATATTGGTGATGAATAAACAGCCCAACAACGATTGGAAAGTAATTTAAAACATAAGAGTAAAACCTGGATATAAATTAACTTTTATAGATATTAATTAATTCGTTTATCAACCAAATAATGATTAATTTATGGAAGTATATAAATCTAATAATGGTGAAGGATATAAGTAAATTAAAATTATTGATTTGAAATATGGTAGAACTGAAAATATGTGGTATTTCCCTTCCGTGTTTATAATGAAGAAATAAATTCTCATTAATAAATATGATAATTATATCCATATTATCAAGAAGAATATGGCTGGAGATCTATAAATTGAATATTCAATTTAATTTAAAAATAATCTTATATATGGAGTTGTCAGCAATGATGGAGAATATTTAATCACATGGGATGAGTAAAATTAATTTAAAATAAGAAAATATTTTCCATCGGTTGCTCATTAATAATGAAATGAATAAGTTTTAATAATAAAATACAATTTTTTTATTTTTGAAAAAAATATTTAAAAACAAATCCTTTTATGTGAATTATAATCTTAATATTATCTAAGCTCTTTAAAGTAAAAAAAATAGGATAAAATTAATTAAGGGACTTATCATAGCAGAAGCGCTATTTTAGACTTAAATATAATCGATAAATTATATTGATATAAAATATGAAAGTATATCCATATATATAAATTAAATTGTTAATATCTTTGCATAAATGTTAATCAATAATAAGATCGATATATTATCAAACATTAATAATTTATCTTATGAATTAACATTTTAGAATATATACAAATTATTAAATATAATATCTATCATTTATAGAGAATAGTATTTATTAAATAGGTTTTTCATTATAAAATATTTATGTTTTATTAAATTATATATTAAACTTTTAATATTTTAATTTCATTCTTTTGATTGAAAACATCTAATTTATATTTCTTTTGTGAAATAATCCCAGGTAAGCAAGTATTGTCCATCATCGCTAAGTGTACCATAAATGCAATTATCATCGAATTCAATAACTTATTCTAAAACAAATTATCTTTCACTTACTATGTTTCCATTACAGTAATTTCCACATCTTATTAAATTGACATTTTTGCCATTCTTAATCATAAGAATACATTTTTAATTAGAAAATTTTGAAGGAAAAAGATTATCACAAGATTGACTATATCCCTTTACATCTATTTCTTTAGTTTTCAAAAATTGCCCTTCAGAATTACTAGTAATTTCATAAATATCCATTTTGGAGTATGATCTTGGTTGAAATGCAAAAATATTATTCTCTATAAAACATAAACGATATCCATCATTCTCAACATTTATTTCTTATAATACTATCCATGAATATGAGTATTAAGTTTTTAATAATTCCATAACGAGAATGAGTTTATCAAGTCCGCATGAGATTAATTTTGTTTGATTTTCATTTAAAGACAATGCATAAACATAACTGCTATGTTTTTTTATAGTTTAGAAACAAGACCATAATTATTTATTGTTGTTTTCACAATTTTCATTGTAGCTCCAAAATTTTATAGTTTTATCGTCACTCCCAGATATTATTAAATCTTCTTTCTAATTATAGATTAAGCAAAGTATGGAGGAAGTGTGCCCTACTAATTATTGAGAACATGACCAAGATTTTTTCTATTCATTTAGATATAACCATATCATTATTGAGTCATCTCGAGATCCAGAGATGAATGAATTCTTTTATTTCTTGAAAAAATCAAGTGTAAATATAGAGTCATTATGTCCTTTTAATATATCTATTTGAACAAGTTTATTCTAAATTAATTCAAAAACTCTGATCTCTTTTTCACATCCAACCAAAACTAGTGTGTTATCTTAATTAATAGCTATGGCTTGGCAATATTCAGGTTGTTTGATAGAGTTCTATGCGATTATTTCAAATGTAAATGGTTAAATTTTTGTTTTTGAAGACTCCTAAATAGAATGCTATAATCTAATTTTATCAATATTAGTCATCATTTCTAAAATTTGCTGACACTCTTGATATTCTTAAAAGGAACTAAATTACTCTAGGTAGATACTCATTTGATAACTTTATAATACAGCAATTTGATGAAGCTGGGTAATTGTTAATTTTGAATCTCTTTCGGTTTCTTTATTTTAATAATTCAATAGATTATCAAGTTCTTTGATCATAATCTCCATCTAATATTAGTTATTAAAAGTTTTCAACTCTTTTATCCAATCAGAGCTAATTTATATTATTGATTCTAATTATGAATTTATATAGGATCTCATTTAACATGCATTACTTTATAGTTTATGTAAATTAATAATTTGAGATTAAACAAAGTCTAAATCATTTCTTGAATTTTCTCTGACTTTCTACTCAGTTATCTCCAAAGCTTTCTCAATCTCAATAGTTTTTTAATTTTAATCAATATTTTCCACACATTAAGAACACAATAATCTTTTTTCAATTAATAAGCTTTAATCTAATAATATTGTATTTATTGGTTATCCTATGTGTTAAGAACATGAAAAATCAGTTACATAATCTAATTATTTTTGTTGTATCATGTTTTAATTATTGATAAATTATCATATTATATTTGCGTCTTAATTAGGCTTAAATAATTGTATATAGTTTATAAACTATATAGATAAATTTGGGAAAAAAATTAAATTTGTTGGTCATTTATTTTCTATTTAAGGTGCAACAAATTATATAATTCTCTATTGAATACAATTTCAAAATTGTCTTATCGATATGAATTTATAAACTCAACTAATTTTACAATAATTAGAATCAAATTATATATAAATATATTTTAACTGAAGGCTATAATAAATAAATCATATACAACTAAACTTATTTTAGTATTTTTATATATAAAAAGACTAATCCTATTTAATAATTCGGTACTTCAATTAACATTTAGAATCAAGTGTAAATTAAAGAGTTAAATAAGTTTAGATTTTAGAAATAAAAGTATTGTAAATCATCTCTTTCTTATGACACTTTAAAACTAATAGATTATGCAAAATACAAATGTAATAAAGAATATAATAATTTAAAAAACTTCCAGTTATTCAGATTAATAACATAAGGATCTATAAAATATATTAGTACTTATCCCCCTTCATTTTGATTTTCAATAAGAACTTTGTTCCTTTAAAATTCCATAATTAAAAATAGTTTACTTAATGTATCTTCAAACTTCTAAATATCAGGTAATCTCAAAGATTGGATAAGGTTCAGCACATTAAGTGTTTAAGGCAGAGCATAATCTAACCCAATAGTTATTTGCAATTAAAATCGAAAAACGCCCAAAATCAGGTCAAATACAAGATGAAATTAAAGTCCTTAAAGAATTACAAGAAATAGAAGGAGTCCCAAAAATAATAAACCATGGAATAACCCCAGACCATAAGTAAGAACAATATAATAAAATTTAGATGCTTTCTTATTATGCCACTCCTAAATTGTAGTTTACGAGATTTAGTAAAATCTTAACCATTATCTTTATCCAACATATTGGCAATAGGATTAAGTATAATTGAGACTTTAGAAAAAGTTCATAAAAAAAACATAATACATTTAGATATTAAACCCGAAAATATAATGATCTCATAAGGAATGCAAAAACATTCTAAAGATCAAATACTAAAGCCTGGGTTCATTTAACTCATTGACTTTGGCTTATCTCAATCGGTAAGAAATTCAAAATTCTTAAAAAATGTATTCTTTGGATCGTTAAATTTTGCTAGCAGAGCATCCCATAAAGGTTAATAATTAGGTTATAAGGATGATTTAGAAAGTTTATTCTTTGTATTAGTCTATTTGAGAAATTGTATTCATTAAAATTTACTCTAGGTAATTTGCCATGGTCTTTTAGACCTTCTATGGGATTTAAGAATATGGATATAAAATTTATTGGAGAGATGAAAACTTCTCTTTTTAACTCTATGGAATTATCTATCAAATTCCCTCTAGAATTTTCGAAATTTGTTTCTTATATTGATGCTCTCAAACATTATGAAATGCCTGATTACTCTTTCATAAAGGATTTATTTATTAAAATGTTACTATCTTCTATGACGGATTAATCTTCTACAATATAATCTATTAATCACCTGGGAAATTCGAAGAACCTACAAATCCCAGTTTACACTTAGCATCTATATGATGATTCAATAGAAACTTAAATTTAAGAAGATATACTAGATACTGAAGCTAAAATTATTAGCCTATCTGAGATGGTTAGATAATACAACACTGTTTAAATTAAGTCAATTGTAAATATTGAATATTGATTATTATTATTAAAATGTTATTAATTAATAATTAATAAATTAATTTTTACATATTTAATATATACTATTATTCTTAATTAATTTAAAATTCTCTCCGTTTAATGGGTTTTCTTAAATCAATTCTCACAAATTAAGATATTGGGATAATTGTCTTACAAACTAATAGTTAAAAATTAATAATGATATTTAAAAAACAATAAAATTATATTGATCATACNTAATCTAACCCAATAGTTATTTGCAATTAAAATCGAAAAACGCCCAAAATCAGGTCAAATACAAGATGAAATTAAAGTCCTTAAAGAATTACAAGAAATAGAAGGAGTCCCAAAAATAATAAACCATGGAATAACCCCAGACCATAAGTAAGAACAATATAATAAAATTTAGATGCTTTCTTATTATGCCACTCCTAAATTGTAGTTTACGAGATTTAGTAAAATCTTAACCATTATCTTTATCCAACATATTGGCAATAGGATTAAGTATAATTGAGACTTTAGAAAAAGTTCATAAAAAAAACATAATACATTTAGATATTAAACCCGAAAATATAATGATCTCATAAGGAATGCAAAAACATTCTAAAGATCAAATACTAAAGCCTGGGTTCATTTAACTCATTGACTTTGGCTTATCTCAATCGGTAAGAAATTCAAAATTCTTAAAAAATGTATTCTTTGGATCGTTAAATTTTGCTAGCAGAGCATCCCATAAAGGTTAATAATTAGGTTATAAGGATGATTTAGAAAGTTTATTCTTTGTATTAGTCTATTTGAGAAATTGTATTCATTAAAATTTACTCTAGGTAATTTGCCATGGTCTTTTAGACCTTCTATGGGATTTAAGAATATGGATATAAAATTTATTGGAGAGATGAAAACTTCTCTTTTTAACTCTATGGAATTATCTATCAAATTCCCTCTAGAATTTTCGAAATTTGTTTCTTATATTGATGCTCTCAAACATTATGAAATGCCTGATTACTCTTTCATAAAGGATTTATTTATTAAAATGTTACTATCTTCTATGACGGATTAATCTTCTACAATATAATCTATTAATCACCTGGGAAATTCGAAGAACCTACAAATCCCAGTTTACACTTAGCATCTATATGATGATTCAATAGAAACTTAAATTTAAGAAGATATACTAGATACTGAAGCTAAAATTATTAGCCTATCTGAGATGGTTAGATAATACAACACTGTTTAAATTAAGTCAATTGTAAATATTGAATATTGATTATTATTATTAAAATGTTATTAATTAATAATTAATAAATTAATTTTTACATATTTAATATATACTATTATTCTTAATTAATTTAAAATTCTCTCCGTTTAATGGGTTTTCTTAAATCAATTCTCACAAATTAAGATATTGGGATAATTGTCTTACAAACTAATAGTTAAAAATTAATAATGATATTTAAAAAACAATAAAATTATATTGATCATACTATTTCTAGTTTGTGATTAGTTAACTAGGTTGCAAATAATGAAACTGAAATCTTAGCAATTTATATTTATTGTTATTAATTTTAATTTTACAATAGCTTTAATGATAATCTGACTCTATGAATTTATTTGATGTCACATTTGATTGTCGTCTAAAACACCGTTGTTTTGGACAAAATAGTGATATCTTGAACATTTCCGAATCTATAAATTGCCAATAGAATAATTGTTATAGATCCAATAGATTGTGCTATAGTAATTTCTTCTAATAACATTTGATTTTAAGAGTAGTTTATTTTCTTAATTTCAATATGAGCATCGATTTAATTATTTGGGTCAAAAAATCTAGATTACATCAAACTATTTATTTTTGCCAGTTAAAAAAAAAAGCTTCATTTATACAAAAGTGATTATGTTAAATTGATAAATTATTAGTGGAACTCCAAAATATATTAAAAATTTGTTACATGGGTAAATTCCAAAAGTTACTTAAGACGAATATGTTGTTTTCATGAAATATCTAATATTAAAATCAGTTCTTTTATGCTTAAACCCTAGAAGATTTAAATAGCAATTTTAAATGGTCCATTTAGTGGGGAAATTGACAACTTAACCTAATCCATCAAGTTTAATGATTAATATTGGGGGGCCAATTAAAAATATGTCGAAACTATTTAATAATATATGATATCCAAATTACTTTAGGCTATAAAATTAAAAACTTATTGTTAAAGTTTCAGGCGTCAAACCTAATCCCTAAATAATATATTTTATACAATTAAATAATAATATTAAGATCCTATAGGATAATTAATTACAAAATTAAAGAGGACTAAATTTTCTTAACAATCCTTTTAGTAAGAATGGGCGTATTAAGTTTAGGGATGAGTAATAATATTAAAATTATTTATGACTTAAACTATATCATCGTTAAATGCAAACCATCTAATTCAATAGCATAAAACTGTTCTACTCTCTCACAGACTATTTTAACTTTAAACCCGAAAATTTATGTTAAGAAATATTTTCAGCTATGGTGATGCTATGTAGTAATTATGAATATTCCTAAATTTATTTTTTAAATCAAGCAGAACAATAGGACCTATGAATAAGTTTTTATTTCAACTGTAAAAATCTGGCACTTGAGCAAATTATTTTTAAAAAGGAATATAAAGTTCTTCAGGTCTAAATTAGGTTCAACTCAAATATAAAACTAATCTATATTATCAGTATAACTGAAGTGATTAAACAAATACTTTTCAAATTTATCATCAGCTATTATAGAAAAATATATCAAAAAATTTAAAACTTATATATTAGTAATAATAAATAGTGAAAAAAATTTTTGATAGAAAAGATTAAGAATATTTGATAAATTATTATTTTTGCTTTTTTATAAATAATCTAAGTTAAGTTTATTAAGAATTAAAAAGTAAATCCATTTTTTGAAAATCAAAAATATATTAAAATTCTGATCAGAGTTCTGCAGATTTCTAGATAATTAAAAGACAATTGCAATGTCACCATTAAATTTCCTACTTTGTCCATTTTAAAATATTAGTAATTTATATACTCAAAATAAAGTTATTTTTCGATTTGATAATTAAAAGCAATATTTATTTTCTATTTGAATTGGTAAATTTAGAAAAATAAATGTCTTTCCATCATTGATTTCAAATTTAATATATAGAACACTATAATTTAATACAAGAAAAATTAATTAATAAAGTGAAACAAATCTAATAATAAAATAGTACTCTTGAAATTTTCAGTGTTTAAGAAATTATTTGAAGCAAAAATTTGTATTTTTTGATATTTACTCAATAAAAAATTCATATAAAAAAATATTAGCAGAAAATCTTAGAATCTGATTTTTATTTTTTAAGTAGAAAGATGTAAGTCCAAAATTAAATTTAATTTGAATATTATAGATATTGAACTCTAGAAATTGGATATCTAAATAAGGACTATCAAAAAGATTTATAAATTGATGTCATAAAATAGATTTAAAATGAAATATGTATTTAGATAAGAATAATGAATTTGTTGATATAAATTTAAGATATAAAATACAGAAGAATCTTTTTTAAATCCTTTATTACATTATATGTCTATCTTTTATTGAATATGTAATAAATTTAACTATAATTAATATAGTCTTTTAATTTGCTTTAACCGATTATTATATGCATATATTGATATAATTTAACAATCAGTAATCATCTGTTTCAGTACGTTGATCATCATCAAATTCAGATTGATTCTCAAAAATTGAGGCTTCTGAAAACTCTGAAAAATCATAAGTTTAGGATGATGTTATCGACTCAAGGTCATTTATTACTCTAATTATCAATTATCTAATCCTTTCAATTTACAAATCTTAAGAGGAGGATTAGGAACTATAATATGAGGTATGTGAGTATTATGAAGAAGATTCCAATGATTCTTAATGCGAAGATGAATTGGATTAGGAAAATGATTGAGATTCAATCTATAATTGTTGATATAGTTATATCAATTATTAATATTATTGTTAAAGTCTTGAAATTTAATGCATAGAGTCAGTATTGACAAAGGTTGGGAAATTCAATTCAATTCCTTCAAACAAATTTAACTTACAAATTTCTACCGCCAATTATATATCAGATTCTTAGCTTCCTTATACAAATTCATATTTATTTGATGGTGACATAAGCCCAATAAATTGATTGGTTATCTTAAAGCATTCATCTTCTTGATATAAAAATATTTAGTTCTCTTTTGATTATACTTAATGTAGATTTCTTTTTTGTTCAAAAATTAGATTTCGTTACATCTTTCTAATTTTATTGCTATAAATTTCTCTACGATCATATACAATTTCTAAGACATCTATTTGATAATATTTTTGTGATGAATTTTCTTATTGCTAGATTTAAAAATTGTAATTGATGTGACTTATATTATTAAGTTCTTATTGTTTGCAATACTCTTAAATTTTTTATTGTCTGAGCATTTCGAATTATTAAATAATCACCTACTATTAATTGTTTTCCATTCCTAGCCAAAATCGAGTTATTAAAAATAATATTAAATCTCGGTGTTATCAAAATGTATAATTTATAACAATATCAACCTTTTCTCCTTAAAAAATTTAATTAAGTATTCAATACATTAATTTTTTTACTTCAATTATATATATATTTTTTACCTCCTTATTAAATTTCTATAAATTAGTTTATATAGACATTATTTAAAGAAAATTTTTAGAACTTAAAATGATTGTAAAAAATCGTTAAATTCTTTTTATTTGATAATTTAGCTAGTAGATTTTCAGATAAATAGTAATTATAAATTCTGTTCAATCAACAAGGGTTTTTTAAATAACAAATCTAAAATTACCAAAATTTTAGTAATATCATTTTAAATTATTCTAAAGAAATGACTTTATTCAAATAATTAAAAAAAAAAAGAAAAATTCTAGTATAAACATTTCAATTAACTAAAAATATTTAAAAAAAATGAAATTAATTCTTAAATTATAATTATGGATCCTTATCAAATAATAGTATTAACAACTTTTTCAATAAATCTTTTTGCATATTCTGAAGGATTTTAAGCTGAAGTATCTAGATCTATTTTTACATTAATGGCTTTTTTTGTAACCTATTCAATTTTTTTTTCAGCATTCCATTCTTAAAGATAATCAATAATTGCAATATGGTAATATACTCCTTTTTCTTTTATGGATGGTATACAACTTAATTATGAATTAAATAACTTGGAAATCTAATACTAATTATTTATATCCATTTAAAGGTTATTTTAAGAGAAAGTTGACCAGTTCATCTTAATTATTAGTAATGAATAATCCATTAGATTCAATTCTGAAAAGAATTTAGAATCTTTAATTAAATTATCTTTTAGTAGATCTTTAATATTTTCAGGAATGAATAATTTGCCTTCTTATTCTTTAAAATCAATATCTTTAAGAGTAGTCTTTGTCAAATCTTTCTTAAGATCATATTGTTTCAAGACTTTTCTTTAATACTCGGATCCTTTTAGGTCATAGGTTCTGATTACATTAGATGATGGAATTTAGAGAGCATTTCTCATTACTATAAATATTTGAGACTCTTAACCCTATAATTAAGCTAATATAATACATTTAGTAACACAAACTTAAAGATTCCATAAATTGGGGAGATAAGAGATTCATTTCTACTTAGATGAAAGAAATAGCTTCCCAAATTTTTTTTAATTACTAAAAGTTCTTATTCACTAATTGTTTTTATTAATAATTTATTATCGAATGTAAAAAAGAAGAATGCTCCTCCCTTTCCACCATCTGGACCTGTAAAAGAATTGATTTACTCTTAATTAGCTATTGGATTAAAAGAATCTGAATAATTATTCACCTTACAATCTTTTTTTCTCAACTTTAGAAAAACTTTTGGAGCATAAATGATTATAGTAGAAGCCATTAACCTTAGTTCAATATCTAGGTCTTACTCAGGTGGAATAATGAATTAACTTTCTTCATTGATTTCCTCCTAAGTTATTTTCGCATCCAATTCTAAAGGTTATTAGGATTCATTAATTTGATTATTTATTTTGTATTTTTTTTAAAATAAATAGTTTACTTTTGAATTATTTTCTGTATAATCATCCTATTAGAATATTTATTATATGCTATAAACAATAGTGTTAACCTTATCTAATAGCAAAGTTTTAGCAATAACTACTAAATTCTATTCTTCAGGTACTAAGATAAAATTATAAAATATATATATACATAAAGAAATGCCAATTGATGATTTGGATGAAAATTACTTCCAAATTAGTAAGATTTATCGTTTTATAGTTGGATCTCTAAGTCTTAAGATAGATAATACAAAAGGAGTGCATAATTTAGCAGAATTTTCAATTGTAATAAATATTAATAGCCATCCTTTTTGAAATTTCGTGCAATTAAGTCCAACTAAAATATAACTTATTGCTTGAGTTAATTATATAAAAAATTAAGCTGTTATATATTAAGAATAATATCGAGTTACTTTTCCTATCAAATTTAAATATCTTTGATTCTCAGGAACAGCCTTCTTTATATATAACATTGTATAAACTGACATGAAAGTGTTAATAAAAACTAAAACCAACCCAGCAAAATTAAATCCAGGATTATACTTTAAACTACATGTGCCAAATAATGACAATCCATTATAATTAAATAATTTTGCTATCAACGTTACAGAAATCATCGTAAACAATGCAATAGAATGAAGAATGAGAGGTAATTTTTTTCTTGCCACAAATTATTCCTTCAGAGTTATTCTAACATAAAGACAGAATATAAGATTGTAAGTGACATCACCAGTACCAGCAAATATGCTTACCACTGAATTGAGCTAGCAAAATAATTCATCACTTAATGGACTAATTTCATTAATCATAAAGTATATGCTTGTACTCAACCAATGAATACATAAGAGGGCCTCACAAAAAGAAATAAAAAATATAATATCTCCAGGCATTTTCCAAGTCTTCGGATAAATAATAAAACTTAGCATTATAATCAATGTTAAAATGAAGGCTATTATTGCTAAGAATAACTAAATTACATACGGATAATGAGAAAAAAGTATTTGTCTAGAGTTTGTAATTTTATCGCTTAAGATAGTTCTTCATCACTTAAATCTGCATTGCAATCAACTACATCTGAATCACTATATATTCCTTTAACTTGAGTGATTATTAAAAGAATTAAGGCTGTATTTATCATATGCATTTTCTGTAGAATTATATATTCAATAATATAATAAAATTATTTTAATAAAAGAGACATTATGGAATAATAAAATATAGAAACTATTAAACTATTCCAATAGTTGAATCAAGAATACATTTGATATTTTATCAATTTAGTATTTTTCTATTTAATGCATATGTTTTTGAAGAATAAAATTGAAGATCTTTTATTTCTCCAAAAAAAATTTTAGTTAAAAAAATTTATATGATGATAATGAAAATATTCATTCTCTGTGTTGTGGTATTGTATAATATTTAAATCACTTATTGTTTTTTAGTTTATGTTTATTCCCCCCCATATATTACATAATAGAAAGGAGAATTAAATTAAATATAGGAATAACTTAAAACTATTTTTAAGGTAATAAAATAAAATTATATAAAATAATTATTTCAATTAATTTAATCAATGTAGATGATCTATATTAATTTATAGATTAATTTTAATATATTATTCTTTCAATAAATTTATATATTATGGAAGATTTATTTTAATTTATAAATTTATTTTCATTATAACATTAGAAAAATTAGATTATGATTATTATTATAAATCCTGTAAAGGAGAGACATAATTTAAAAATTTCAAATCATTCAGACTTCATTTCAATATGTTTCGCATTGTCAATCAATCTTACTAGTATTTATTTTTTCTTTTTGGATTACCTTTTGATAAATATCTCTTCATAAAATCATCTATATCTTAGTTTAGATGATTTTAGATGTTATCCATTTGCATAAGTGTCGTGAGTATTACATATTTTAAAGGATTTCAAAATAACATAGTTATATTACTCGTTCGATATTTTTTGTTTTTACAATATAGTCATTTTTAATAAGATGTCATAAAATAACAAATCCAATTTAGCTTTTTAGTCAGTGCTTGTATTTACTTTTACATACTTTTTATATCTATTCCTCAATATTCATTTTATATAGGATACCCTGCAATTTCTTTGCAATAATTTTAAAGTGGTTTTATTAATATAATAGTTGATTTCTTTTTGTTAATCTTAAGGTTCCAATCTAGGCTCACTTTTTCTAAAGATCTGAGAAACTATTAAATATTTTTATGCTATATCCAAAATACGATATCATCAACTTAAGCCAAATATTTAATCTCCATTAAACCAGATTAATTTTATAGATTTTTTCATTAAATTGTCTAAGTATATATTAAATAGTTGCTGATATATCGGTGATAATTGCACTACTAAACCAGTATTTGTTATTTTTATTGATAGGGTCTACCATCTCTTGTAATTGCTTTACCTATGGATAATTTACCTAGTAGTTCTTAAAATTCTTCGTGTCATAGAGGGTGTAAAGTTGGTAAATCGGTTCTCTCAAATTGTTCCTTTTTTGAAAAAAGTTTTTTATGGTGCGAGGATGATAGAAGATATTTTCATATTTATTCATATAATATCGATACATTCCTCCATCTTTTTTCTTTGGATTTAGAATTGCGAGAGTTTTCATCTGTTTGTAAGCTTAATTTTTCTTTTTAGCAGTGTTGAAATTTTTTTCGATTTCCTTTAATTTTGTTTCAAAAGTCTAGTGATAATCCTATTATTTGTGTAATTAGATTCTAATTTTTTAAATGACCTGAGCTGATCTTAATTATTTTCTGAGTTTATTATACCAACAAGTAAATCTGAATTTTAATTAGCCAGCTTTTAATTCAATTCATATGCATTTTTTTATTAAAATCTAATAATTGTTGCTTTTTATTTTCTGGGCTTGGTACTATAACTTGGGCTCTAATTCAAGCATGATCAGAGAGTTGATTAAAGATTATAGTTGTATTATATTTGACGCAATTGTGATAATAATATATGATCTGTTCTTGATTGGATTATTTTTCTAACTTTTGATATTTAGAATGTTTTCTAATTGGGTTCTATAATATTTTTGAAACCTGTTATTTATGATGAGGCAATATTAAAATCTCCACATATTTACTCAGGCTTGGTTTTACTCGATAAGTCTAGGAGCTATAGTTTTAGATTATTGAAGCATTATTTGAATTCTTGTCTTTTGTGGAAGTAAAAATTAAGTAATAGAATATTTGTGGTTCAGTTTCTTAAATTTATACGTAAGTACTCACAATTTTTAACAGGAGGTTTTAGTTTTTGCTCAAATTGGCTGTATCGAAGCACTTATGTTTCCCTATGATATTCCGCAATTCTTTGAGATGGTCCGTAATTAATATAGTAGTTAGAATTAGGACTATTTTTTAATTTGTGATTTCTAATTTCTTTTTAGGCAGAAGATATGCGGTTTTAACCCTTAAGTTGTTTGAATGTATTATTTTTTATCAAAGATCTTAGAAGGTATTTTCTATTTCTCCTCATGTTTTTTAGTTATGTGTTTTTTTAGCCCTCGGTTATTCTTAAATGTTTATGAAAAAATTATACAAATCTGTTCCTCTTATTCCTAATTATTGTTCCTTTCTTCTATTTTAGTAATGAAATCACTTTTGGATTTGAGGTTTCATTTACTTTTATATCAGTGTATATTTTTAATACTTATTGATTTTAGTGTTTTTATATATTGTAATTTCAGTAAATAAAGTTCACATTTTACATTAGAGTTAATGAGTCCTGATATGACTTCCCATAGCAATATTTACATTTACCATTAATACTTGAAAGCTTTATTTTTGTTATTTTGGCAATGAGCAATATGAGTGCATATTTCTTTACTTTCTTCTGTTGATTTATACTTAGAGCAGTTAGAATTCTACTTGTCTTCTAAGAATGAATGTGTCAAATATCCCATAAAATAATCAACATTAGACTTGGTTTGAAACTAGTCTATTAATTTAAATTAAAAAAAATTATATAAAGACATTATTTCCATAAATTTATACATTATAAATTATAGATTGTAAGTTAAAGATTAATTTGAATTATATTATATTAAAAACTATATTAACAAATTATTTAAATAAATTTATACATTTTAAATGAAATATTGTAGTTTCTTTGCTTAGATTAAATTATAATTTATTAATAAATCACTTTAAGGAATTATTTCAATAATTTATACTTTTTAAAGATATTAATTATATATAAATAGTAGTAACACAGTATTTCAATAAATTTATACAATTTACATAAAACATTGTAATTTACTAATTAATTACTATAATAATTTATAAAAAGTAGCAGTAACACAATATTTCAATAAAATTATACATTTTAAATGAAATATTTTAATTTACTAATAATCAATTACTATTATACTTTATACAAATATAATATAAACTCTATCTTTCAATAAATTTCAACTTTATAGTTTGCTTATTAAAAATTATATTAAGACATTATTTCCATAAATTTTATACATTTCAAATTATCTATTGTAAGTTAATTTAAATAAATTAAAAAATATATCAACATAATATTTCAATAAAGTTATACATTAAAATTATCTATTTCATTCATAGATTTATTTGAATTATAATATATTAAAAGTTATATTCAAGCATTATTTTTATAAATTTGTACATTTTAGATTATCTATTGTACTTTATTGTGAAACTTTAATTTTATATATTTAAAAATATATGAACAAGTTTTTTCAAAAAATTTAACCATTTTAGATTATCTATAGTATTTATAGGTTATATATTTAATATTATATTAAAACATTAATTAAATTAATTAATATAGATTTCAAAGAGTACCCATTAATAACCTACGCATTTACTTTCACAATATATTTTAACAATAAAAATAGATTAAATTATCAAAGATGATTTTGAGAGACAAAGCAATTAAAAAAACGCTCTATATCAGATACATTGATTAGACAAACAAAAAATATTGCTTTATTTTTAGATTATTGAAAATATTCTTTAGAAACAAATATTATTTGTGAGTGGTTATGTTAATTCCTTTAAACAAGAGCTTACCAAATATTCCAAGTTTCATTTAATTCAGACCAATAATTGTCATAAGTCCTCATTTCAATTACCGTAATTTAAGATTTATCAAAAAAATGCTAGATCCGATTTTAAAAATCCTAAAATTCAATCAAAAATCTTGTTTTTGTTCTGGCAAAGAACTTAAGAAGATATTCTATAATTAAATGAATGAATAAAAGAGATTTAGAATCAGGTGTATTTATTATGTAAAAATACTCTATGAGAATGAAGTTGATTTATTAATAGTAATACATTCTTAATTACGATTCGATAAATAAAATATCATCTAATTAGTTTGAAACCTGTTTACACAAGGTTCTCAAATTTTTGTTATATTTTTTTTTGGGTAAATTTTTAATTGAATTTTTATAATGGTTTAATGTTAAAGCATATCCTGATGATTTAATGTTTATAGAGAAACAAACAAACATAAAAATTTTTTAGATGATTGCTAAGAATGGAAACTGATAGTGGATCTCCTTCATAATATTAATAATATAGATGATAGACATATATTTGATTGATCATCATCATCATATAATACAATTATTTATTAAATATAAATAAAAAAAGATATTCTAGTATGGTATATAATCTTAAAGATGAATAATCAATACTCAAGATAATTTATCATTTGATTGATTATTTTCTGCTATAAAAAATAATTATTAATCTTTCATTGTCAATCTCTAAAACCTTTTTTTAGGAAATTATTCAATAAAAATCAAAAAAATAATGCATGTTAATGGCTTCCTTTTTATATGGCTCATAAAATTCTCTCCCTAATAATTAGAAATTAATTCAACAAAGCACTTTGTTTAAAAAAATTAGTATTTTCGATTTAACAAACCATATAAAAATAAATGAAAGAAATTAAATTAAATAATCGGAATAATGGGTTAAATTTCTTGTTTTCAAGCAAACGAGCTAACAGAGTTCAATGTATTGTTAATTGGCCCATCTGGATCAGGAAAGACAAGACTTGTTACAGAAAAAACTTTAGGACCTACAATTAGTAATGAAAAATATAAATTTATAGAATTAGAAAAGCACTTAATAAAATTGAATGAAACTCACGGGTTGAATTTTTATGACACACCTGGTATTCTTAGTTTATTCAAATAATGTCTTAATTAAGATATTTTATAAAGTGTTGATATCATTGCATGTTTTCCAAATTCAGAACAATACAAAAATTATATTAAGGAATTACTACAAAATAATACAAAATTATTCAAATAGATTCCATTTTATGATATTCCAGGAGATTTAGAATCAAAAGAGATAAGTAATAAGATTTATTTGTTTATTTTATCATAAAGTAAAAGAAAATCAAAAAAACCAAGTTATAATTAAGAAATTGTATGATTTTGATTAATTCATTGTTTATGTTTCTTATATAAATGATTATCAATCATTTTTTTACAATAATCTTTTGTGGATCAACATTAGATCCACATAATACAATCAGACATGAAAGACGCCCTATTGGATAGTTCATAAAGCCAGCATAAGCTAATGCTGCAGCTCCTTCAACAATAAGTTTGTGTTCATTCAATAGTTTTAGTTAAGCATCAAGAATTTGATCCTCTTTTACTAAAATCCAATCATCAACCAGATGTTTACAAATTTCAATAGTGATAGCATTTTCTTCAACTCCACCAGATGTTCCATCCGATAAAGTATCAAGTAATTTGTAGTCTTCTTTGTTACGCAAGATCTAATTTTATTAGTAATATTACATGGTACATGGCTGCATTATTTCTAGGCTAAACTCCTATAATTTTAGTGCCTTTATTTTTTAGATATTTAAAATATAAAGCAATTCCTCCAATCAAACCACCACCTCCACATGAAACAAAAATAAAATCTAGTTCTTCATTTAAAGCATTAAAACTACATAAAAATATAGTATTACTATTAATCTAATTCTTCTCCAATAGTGCAACTACCCAAAATCATATTTATATCATTATAAGGGGAGGCATAAAAGCTATTATGCTCTTCAGCATATTATCGAGCTCTTTTTTCACTTTCAATACAATCTTAACCTGCATAAATAATGGGACATGTAATTTCTTATAATTTATCTTTGTTTACATTTTCAGGTACAAATATTATTAAATTGGATTTGTTAAGTTCTTCTTAAGAGTATTATTATTATTATTATTTTTGCAAAAAATCAGGTTAAGGGGTAGGAGTATTATATTCATCTTATTTAATTTATTAGAACTATTTTTCTTGTTGTTGCAGGATTTCACTCTAATTCTTTGTTTCCTCTTAACAACTTTTGTAAGCATAAAAACATGCTTTTGCAAAATTACCTGTACTTGCAACTACAATTTATTGGTTGGGTTGATCTTAAAAGTATAGAAATGCTCCTCTAATTTTAAAACTTCCAGAAGTTTAAAGGCTCTCGAGTTTTAGATATGTTCTATCTTTGATTTTCAGAATTGGTGTATTGATAATTGGAGATAAATCTGATTTAAGAATCTAATTGGCAATTGGAAATTTCTTTTTAATTTTTTTAAGGAATTCTTATGAGATTGTATCTATAATGGGTTTTCTAGAGGTTGAGCAATCTAATCCCATATTTAATTTATATATTAATAATAAAATTATGAGTGAAGAAGAATAAGTGGATGGGAAATTTGATTATTTAAAAGCCAAATATGTTTTTAGATTCCCTTTTACAGTCACTGCATTAAAATGGGGATTTGGTTTAGGTACATTTTTTGGAATTCATTAATATATAAAATCAAGAGATGGAATGGCAAGTATGAGATGGTTTATTTGGGGTAATGTTTTAACAACCTTACCTATTTGGGGATTCTTTATGATG